CCAAATATTTACCTTTATAAGCACAAAAGTATTCCATCTTGTAGACTCCTCTTCCACCTCCAACATGTACCTCTTCCACCGCCAACATTCGACTGCGCTTTTCCCCTTCAACGACTCCCTAAAAACATAAAGTAGAATCATTTTCCGTACATGTGCTTGCAAACAAATCTATTAATAACATCAAAACCCCCCATATGTTCTTCAACTATATTAATCTAGAACATCAACACCTCCAACTAATTCGTGAAGCAAGAGGTAGGGCTTTGATTACAATTTTTATGCAACTTTTGTATAGAAGCAATGGTTGTGGTAAGTAGACCTTTTCATCTAAGGAATATGGTTCTAAATCATGAAATATTATATATATATATATATATATATATATATATATATATATATATATATATATATATATATGTGTGTGTGTGTGTATGTAAAACGTATCGTGTAATGTCGGGTTCGTGTTAGGTTGAAACTTAAACGGGTTGAAAAAGATTCATCCAAGCCCGACCCGTTTAATAACTGTGTCATGTCATGTCAATCAATTTACTTTCATGTTGAGTTTATGTGTAGTTAGTGGGTTTAGGGTTTAGATTTTGTAATTTTGTTTCATGTCATGTTAAAATACTAAACATGTTGAAGAAGATAAACGGTGACAACAAGTTTTTTTTTTGTTAGAAAAATAAATCTACAATAAAAAACAGTTATCTTGACAAAAATCTACGAGTTTTTTGTTGGAAAAAAAGGTGTCGCGAATTCATAGCTAAAAATAGCGCCTTTTTTTTGTTAAAAAGGAACCACACAAATTCTTTTATTTTTTTCCATGGTTTATATCAAGGTTGTCAAGATCAGGATCTTACGTATGATCGTTTTTTTGTTTGCAAGATCGAGATCGGGATCCTAAGATCCCACAAAATAAATTATAATTATAATTTATAATTTTTAATCATGAAAAATATTTCAAACATTCAATTTTTTGTTCAAAAGTTATAAAAACTTCAAAATATTAGTCATAAGTCACAACACAAAATGATAAATGGTAAATTGGTAAAGAGTAAAAGCCATAAAGTGGTAAAATAAAAATCATTTTCAAAAAAAAAAAAAAAAGTCAAGGGAAGGTAGGATCGGATCGGATCTCAATTCTACGATCTTACGATCCTACCTGCGATTCTACCCCAAATACGATCCGTTTACGATCCGGATCTTTTTTCATACCTAGGATCGTACGATTAGGATCGCGATTTTGACAACCATGGTTTATATGGTTATTTTGTGATATAAAATAATAATACAAAAATAATCGTATCCGTATATTTTTCGCCCCAAAAAAATTCATTGAATAACTCATGAAAATAATCTTAATGACCATTAACCCGGTTTAGCTTATGTTCTTTTAATAACAATATTACTAACACAATGGCTTCCACAAATATATATATATATATATATATATATATATATATATATATATATATATATATATATATATATATATATATATATATATATATCCCTATCCTAATAAAAGAATATGTTTAATATCCTATTGACAAGTGACATACAATTAGAACTCCTCATTAATGTTATATATCATCTATCATGCCACTTGTCAACCATCCATTTCAAATTTCAAATTTTAAATTTCCACTTTAATTACATTAAATTCATAATTGATTATCCATTTCAAATTTTATTTTTTAAATTTGTCATTCTAATTACATTAAATAAATAATTGATTCTTCATTTTAAATTTTCTCTCTTTAATTATATTAAATTAAGAAAATTAGATTCAAAAATAAAATAAAATTAATACAGATTATAAGATTATATAACTTCATGTATTTATTTAAATCAACGATTATAATTTTATATAACTAAAAAAATATCTCTTAAGTAATAATTTATTTAAAATAATTGATTAATAATTTTGATTTTTGATTTTTAAATATGAAAGTTTAATTAATTTTATATCTGTGGTTATCACGGGTTATAACCTAGTATATATATATATATATATATATATATATATATATATATATATATATAGGGAAATCTTCAAAAAAGTCCCAAACTTTTGGGAAAAGTTACACTTTTGTCCCAACATTTTTTTTTGAACAAAAAAACCCAGGAAACTGGGTAAATCGAACATTTCGGCCCTATTTTACCGGTGACCTTCATTTAGCCGGTTAAATTGGCTTATGTGGCAAGGACTTGCTGAGGTGGTTGGTGAGTCATTTAATGGCCTTGTATTAAACTCTAAATATAGTGGAAAACTTCATTCGTGCCCTAGCAGACAACGATTGAAGCAGGAGCAGTGGAGGACCAAGACAAATGTCTTCTTCATCTTCAATGAATCGTCTCAGAAAGAGGTGCTACTGTGGTGATCCTGTAGGAAGATGGACTTCATGGACTCCATTAAACCCAGGAAGAAGGTTTATAGGATTCCCAAATTACCAGAATGGACTCAAAGATTGCAAGTACTTTCGTTGGGTGGATCCTCCTCTACCAAGCCAGTGGTATGCAGATCTGTTATTAGTATTACACAACAATGTCAATTTGGAGAACCATCGAATATTTGGGGAGTTTGGGCAAGAACAACCAGCTGGGAACTTTTTTGGAGACGTTGTGGAACAACCAATGGCTCAACAACCAATTGCACAACAAGCAGTGGAAGGAGGAAGATGGAAATCATTGCTTTATGTCTCTGTGGTTTCTTTTGTGTTTTTGTTGGTTATGTTGATGGATTGGTAGGATAGAAAGTTGTTTTAATGTATTTTGGTTGTGTTTCTTTTGGTTATGACTAAGGGTTGTTAGTTTACTATGAATGTAGTATCTTGTTACTCATATGATTATGAATGAAGTATCTAGTTTATGTATGAACTTTAAATGTGTTGATTGTAATCAATGAATGGAATCAAAGTATGACTGTAATAAGTTAATAATGGACTTAATACACAAACGGATCAATACATAATGGAGTCAATCATGCATGACCGGAATCATGCATGACTGGAATCATGCATGACCGGAATCATGCATAACTAGATATGGCTTTAAATGTTGACAGGTATGGCTTTCAAGAATGGATGGCCACATTCATGGGAAGATTTTGAAGGTTTAGTGTCTGAAATGACCATTTTACCCTTACATTCCAATAAACAATTTACTCAATGTACATCAATTTTAACATAAGAGGATTATGGAGGCAATTAAAAGAAAAGGGAAAATAAAATAGAACATGTAGTAATATTAACCAAAGCCAAACAAGTTTAACATAAGAGGACTGGAATCATGCATGACCGGAATCATGCATGACCGGAATCATGCATGACCGGAATCCATATAAGCAAACATTATATGCACAAGTAATATATGCATGACTGGAATCTATAAAACAAGGAATCAATATAACCAAAGGGAACATAAACATTGTTAATCATAGAACATGTAGTAATATTAACCAAAGCCAAACAAGTTTTATGGCAAGTTGTGTAAATGCCTAAAAACATGATCAAGGGGCCCAAAGCCTATAGTTTATATGGATGTAAACAAAAGGGGCTATCAACAAAAGAGGCTATCATCAGTAGAGGCTTATCAACAAAAAGGGCTATCAACATTTGCCCAAACCCAAAAGTTTTATACATGTTCTTAACAAAAGTAGGGATTAGAAACACCCTAATCTAGACTAAGGGGGTTGGATGAACTCATCCCCTTTCCATTCTTGACAGTTACCACCTTTTGCAACTTGATCTCTGTTATCCTTTCCGAAGGCTTCCTCCTCCTGACTTGATTCACTTTGCTCCTCTTTGTAGTCCTCCTTCTGACTTGATTCAATTGTTGTGTGATAGGTATTTCTCTCTCACCATCCATCCTTTCCTCATTCATCATTACCTCACCCATCCCTGGCTCATCTATGCCATCCTCCTCATTCATCCTTTCCTCATCTCCAAGTACTTGATTTGTAGGGAGTTCTTCAACTGTTATTTGGCTAGCAATTCCAACATCCTGTAACAAGCATAACAAAAAGGCCAGTTAGCAAGATTTAACATCACAAAATGAATAATGAGAAAGAAAGCATACTTGTGACATAGCAACATCCACATCTTCAATTTGTTGTACTTCTGCTTCACTCAATCCAAGACCTTCAATTTGTTGTAATTCTGCTTCACTGAGTCCAAGACAGTCCATGATCTCTTCTGTAGTGTATAAAGATTTCCTTAGGTTGTCAATTGTTAAGCTTATATGATTGTGAAAATCTGGACTTGCATCATTTTCACTCTCAACAGTTGGAATGGCAACAAGTTCAGGCTCACATTTAGGAAACTCAGAAGTACCCTCCCCATATTCTGTTTGGACTCCTTCACTAGATCCCCTACCACCACCTCTATTGCCTCTTCCACTAGATCCCCTACCACCACCTCTACTCCTTCCTCCACCAACCCTTCCACCAACCCTTCCACCAACCCTTCCACCAGCCCTTCCACCACCTCTAGATCCTGTTTTAGTTCCTGACCAATTAATCAAATCGGGTTCCAACCTAGGCCTTCCCATTTTTTTTCTTTGGTTGAGGTTCTGGAACCACTGTAGGATTCTTGCATGATGTTTTATTGTGTCCCCTTTGTAGAAAATTTTTACACTGGACAGTTCTACCCTTGCTTGACACTTGAGAGTACTTGTCTTGATTTTCTGAAACATGTCTTCTTCTTTTAACACTAGGCCTTCCTGGCATCCTCCTTTCAATAGGTGGAAGGGGCTTAGTGTAGCTTGTTTCTTCCCATAAGATACTTCCATTAACTGGGTGTATATTCTGATCATAAGTTGCCTTGTAATTATTCTTGCTGAACCAACTACTTATAAAGTTAACTGGATCTTGATTGGTGTACAATATTGCCACTTGTGCATGCACACAAGGTATTCCTAAAAGTTCCCATAATCTACAAGCACATGTTTTTTCCTTCAAGTTAACTCCATAATTCTGAAACCCATTCCTTACTTCATATTCATTCACTCCACTTGGAACTGCATGCCAACTTCTGCAAACATATAAGATAGAACATAAGATGCAAACGCATAAGATAGAACATGTAAAAACAAAACAATTGAGAATACTTACTTAATGTCTTCTCCAAATTCTTCCATCTTTGTTATCGCGGAAGGACAAACTTCACCAACCCAATTTTCAGCCTCTTGTTTCAGATTGAAAGCCCTTTCCATCATGTAAAGCCTAATCTCTTCAAGCATAGTCAGCAAAGGTTTCTTTCTTGCGTCTATAATGATTGCATTGAAACACTCAGCAATCCCATTCTCTACAACCTCACAAGCCAAGCCAGTAGAGAAATAAGCCCTGCACCATGAAGTTGGTTCCCTTGCCATGAGATGATCATAAGCAGCAGAACTTATTGCCCTAATCCTTTCCATATTAAACTTGAAATCTCCTTCTGTGGTAGATTTTGCAGCTGCCCAAAACATGTTTCTGAACTGCACTCCACTATAAACTTTTCTGAAATTGGCATAGATATGCCTTGCACATTGCCTGTGCTCAACATATGGTAGAATATCCTTACTAGCTTAAACAAGACCCTATAACATGAAAAAAAAAGTTAATTAGCAACACCATACACTATTGTAAATAATGAAAAATAAAGAGATAGTTACTTTACCTTGTGTTGGTCACTGATTACACACACACACCCTTTCCACCCTGCAATCCAAGATCATCATTAACAAAATCCAGGAACCATTTCCAGTTGTTCTTGTTCTCTACATCAACAACTGCCCAAGCTATAGGATACACCTGATTATTGGCATCCCTACCTATTGCATTTAACAACTCACTCTTACACTGTCCCTTCAAAAAAGAACCATCCAATCCTATTACCCTACGACATGCCCTTTTCCACCCCTCTCTTATTGCTTTAAAGCAAATGTAGAATCTATGAAATGTTGTGGTATTATCAGGGTTTACAGTAACTGTAATCCTAACTGTGCTGTCTGGATTGGATCTCAGTAGCTCATGCCCATAATCCCAAACTCTTGCATAGTGGTCACTCAAATTCCCATGAATTAATGACAGTGCCCTCATCCTTGATCTATAACACTTTGACCATGAAATTTTGCAATGAAATTTACTTTGTATAATTACCTGCATCTCTTTGCATTTTAAATTAGGTTTCCTAATCAACTCCTTCATAAATTTCCTAGCTAACCAGGTAGGATCCATAAGCCTTGAATTGTTAAAATTCCTAACACATTTATGAATGTCTATCATCTTTTTGACTTGGAAAGACCTTTCAGTACTCATCCAAGAAACCCTAAGTACAAATGGACACTTCTCTGGATCACTTCCACATATTGCCACTAGTCTAACACTATCACATTTTTTGAAACGGATTTGAAAACCCTTACTAACAGCATAGTTGGTCAAACACAATTTCAGTTCATGTGGGGATTCATACCTTTCACCAAGCATTGGTCTCATTTTGTTCCATTTCACCTTTGGATTGTGGGTGGAATACTCAAATTCCTCATCACTACCTTCCTCGTTACTACCTTCCAGATAATCTTCATCTGATTCTTCTTTAGTGATTCCAGTTTGAGCATCGTTTCCAGTTTGAGCATCATTTTCAGTTTGAGCATCATCTACTGCCTCGTAATCGTCTTCTTCACATAGAATATTGAGAAATTCGTCTTTGCATCTGGAAGCTTGTTTCTTTTTGAAGTACGCATCCAACTCCACATCTATTATATCAAAATCATGGATATCATACATGATTTCAACTGCACGGGGGTAAAAAACCCTAGTTTACTGAGGGGGAGGTGAGAAAGTGAAATGAGAGAGGTAAGTTGTATTGTGTATGTATGTGTGTAAATGAGATCGATTAAACCTACCTCAGCAAGTCCTTGCCACATAAGCCAATTTAACCGGCTAAATGAGGGTTGCCGGTAAAATAGGGCCAAAATGTTCGATTTACCCGGTTTCCTGGGTTTTTTTGTTCAAAAAAAATGTTGGGACAAAAGTGTAACTTTTCCCAAAAGTTTGGGACTTTTTTGAAGATTTCCCATATATATATAGATATATATATATATATATATATATATATATATATATATATATATATATATATATATATATATATATATATATATATATATATATATATATATCATGCATACTTGATTCTTAATCATGTTTCTTTGTAAAATTGTTATACACGCTATCCATTGAGATGTATGGGCGTATGGTGACAAAAAGTTACATTCGTAACGTTTATAATATCATTACATCAATGATACAAAAATGTTTTCCCCAATCTTGATTTTCAAATTGCCCCATGTTTGAAATTTATTTTAAAGGATTGTATGCTTGAATTTGAATATTTTAACTATATATATTATTGAGTCACTTATCAAAATACATTAACGGGTAGATAATAAGTTTTTTCTCGTGTTTAAAAAAAAATATATTCAAAAACAATGATAACAGAGAAAAATATTAATTTTATCTTATAATTTTGTAAAATTAAATTGTGCAATTATTATATTATATTTCAACAAAATATATTTTATAACTTACATGAACCAAAAATATACATTAGTAATGAGTACATCAAATAAGATTTAACATTATTTTTTAGAAAAAAATACAACAGGTCACATGACTCACATGTGACGAATAAACCTTTAGTGGTTACTTGGTTGATATATTTGTATATAATATAATATTTGAAAAATTGAAATAAAAACAGGCGTATTCAGAAGATCATTGATGAACTAAATTATGAAACTTTTCAATGCAAAAGGAAGCACACTCGGGTCCCCATTCTTGCATGCTTATTTTCTCTAAAAATGTTTTCTTTTTGAATAATTGGCACTTGAATCCAAATTTAAATTTAAATTTCGTAGCTTCGCAATTCAAACAAACACTTTAAATGTAAACGGATAAAACTGTCGAGTTTATTAAATTAAGTTTAGAAAAAGTTATGATCACATTTTTTAACGGCAGAATTTTAATTAAATTAGTAAGATGTTAGTATAAAATCGAAACACATCACAAGATAGATATAGCAATGGTTGGGTTTTGTAACTAATGAACCTAATAAACTTTAAACTTTGTGCTTCTATTAGCAAATCCAAAACGAGGAGGAAACAATCGAATCGAAAATGATCGTTTTCTTAGTTTTGGACACTCCAAATAAGGTTGTTTCGAAAGTTCCAAACCATCCAAGGTGTACTGAAAGCCATTGGTTTAAAGGATTTCTTGTGAGTCATGTTCATGTGTAAGGTACAGTGGCAAGAAAGTCTATTGAAACTGTATAAGGAGACAAAATATATACATCCCATAATCGAGCATTAAGTGACAAAATGACAAATCATTTATGCAATGGCACACACGATAAGGATATGATCAATAGTCTCGATATGTGACTCACGAGTGGTTAAAAGTGATTCAATATACATCCATGTTTTCTCAAGATCGACTCTAATAGACATCTAGGTCCATTGAACTCTCCAAATAAAAACATTAATCTTGATATGAAGAATATTATTTCATATAGTAGGACTAGCACCTGGTGCAGACGAGCCAAGCTGCTCGTGAACTACTCGGGATAGTTCGCAAAGCTCGACTTGAAATCGATTTTAAACGAGTCCAAGTCGAGCTCGAGCTTAATATTAAGCTCGTTTATTAAACGAGCTCGAGCTCGAGCCTATGTCACTAAGCTCGATTAGGCTCGCGAGCCTAAACGAGCCTATATATAATATAATTTATTATTATTTTTATATATTAAAATAAAAACATAGTTATGGAATTAGGGATTTGGGGTGTCAGTAAACGAGCTTCCTAACGAGTTCGAACCGAGCTTAAACTTATTTATGCACATTAGACAAAAAACGAACCGAGCTCGAGTCCGAGCCGAACTTGTGTAATTCTTTACGAGCTTGAGCCAATTTCAGGTTCGGGCTCGGCTCAGCTCGTTTGCACGGTTGCACCCTTAGCACCTACCAATGTAGTACCATTATCGATATTTGATCTAGCCAAAACCACTAAGACTGATCAGTGTGGCACTACCGATACTGCAGTATGGTGAGATGGCAGTGCGATACTGCAGTGAACACCATACCGACCAAGTGTGCAGTTTGGTGTCTACCCCACACAAGACCATCTTGCCGCATCTTTTTCCTATTTTTTAAAATACTTTTAATCCTTAGGAATCAAATATTAAAAGACAACCAACAACAAACATCAAGTATTCTCTCAAAACCTAGCGAATTGACCATAACCAACCCCTTTTTTAGCATAACGATCACAAATCCAACCCTCTAGATACAAATTGAACCGGAGAATGAATGATATTACTCCGTAGTCCTCTAGTCCTCTAGTAATGCCATGGAAAAAATGAGATTCAAAGTTGCCTTATGTTCCATAAACTTCTTTTGTCACTCTCGAACCCATACGAGTTTTAAGTTCACCAAGAAACGACATTTCCACTTAAAAAGGAGAGCTCTATTGGAAGCATGCAAATTTCCAATTCCAACCTCACCTTTGTCTTTACTCGACATTATCTTTGTCTTAAGCTACAAGGACGAGTACACCCCATGATTTTCATGGGTTCGCCCACCATAATGTTTTGTATGGAAACTTTGGTTTGGTATCTATATGCAATTATGCATACATTATACATAAACATGTAATGTATCCTATATATTGTCGCCCTCGTCTTTGGTATTTTGCATCCACTTTGTCGATTTTATTGAAAACAAAATTAAACTTTTGTTCAAATCTTTTGGATATCGATAGCATGTTGTAATCTTCACTTTGCTTCTTAGTTAATGATATTTATCAACTTCTTATGGACATACAATCGTGAAACTACGTTAAATGTCGTGTTGTGTTTTGTGGGTGAACTTTATATTGATATTGATTGATCATTTGTGTTGTGTTTTTTTGGATCAAATTTGTCTTTCCACAATGATCGTTGATTTGTTCGCTTCATGACTATGAACGTTCGTAATCAAATTCCAAACATTTAATGTAACAAGTCAAACAAATAAATTAAAGTTTGGTTTGATAAAGAAAGATAAAATCATAAATATGGTAAATTTAACAAAATGACATTTTTTATTATTATTTACACAAAATGATTATCAATTTTATAATTGGTTTGATAAAGGGAATTATGTATGATTTTTTTATTTAAAAAAAATCACTTTTAAGTTCTTTTGGTATTTTTATGATTTCAAGATTGAATGGCAATGATCATATACTTTTCATACTTGCTTTTATCTTGATTCTTGAATCAAGCAAACGAATTCAAGTCACATCGATCCATTTTACGAAGCTAAACGTTTGAAAAAAAGTACATAACATTCTTACATTCTTTTATTCAATTCAAATGAATCACAAGATTAAAGCTTTAAAGCAACTCCTACAAAACTTTATGTATACAAGACCAATTCACTTTACAATAAAACGATTTTACGATTGATTTTTTAAAACTTAAATCAAGAGAAGCTCATCGATGATTTCAGCTTTCACGTACAATTGGCAATGTAGATCAAACGTATTATTTTGCATAATCAATCATGATCAAATTCGAAAAACAAGGTTTTCAAATATCAATTGGGATTTTGATTCGAAGAATAGGAAACAAAATTTAAGATCAAACCCTAGATGGGATTAGGGGAATGTTTACCAGAATCTGTTACTGACAATCAGAGATTGAAAATTTGAACATATCATTGTGATTTCTGGAAAATTTCTCTACAGTTTCCAAGAATAAGATAATGATTTACTCGGGAATCGTACCAAGTACCGGCCTCCATGCTCGTCGGAGTAACCGTTGCCGTAATGTCCCCGACAACGGCCTCAGCCCTCTCGAACCACCGCGCCGAACACCACCACCACTCCACCGCTTCGTTTCTTCTCCACCGTCTGTTCTGTTCTGTTCAAGCAACCGAGGCGACGGAGGCGACGACACAAGCAAATCCTTCAGCTTCTGCCTCACGCCACCGACATCCTTCCTATTGTCCGACGAATCAACATCATTATTACCTCTCCGATCTAGAAACTCTTCGCGACGCGGCAACCGCCGACTCAGCAACATCCGTAACGTCTTCCGTCGTCTGAGGTGAATCACCGGGCTTGTAGCTGGACTCCGAGAAGGACTTCCGGCTAAGGCACATTGTGTCGCTAGCAGCTTAAACTTTTGAAGTGTCGCCATTAATTCCGATCAAATTAACTCAAATTTCTCAATACAAATGCTCCAATTCGTTTCAAAACTCCATCAAACGATAAATTCAAAGACAAATTTAGCGTCGAGGTTCTTGTTCTTCCATTGGATCAGTAAATACAGAGGGAGATGAAAGGGAAAGAAGAAGAGGGGTTAAATAATTGAAGGGATGGGAGAGGTGAGGTAACGGACGGCGACGTTAAAGTTAACGGGGGGTTAACAGCGGGAGAATGGGAATATTATGACACGTGGCAGTGAATAAGGAGTTTGAACGGGTCTCTCATGGGTCCCACAGTCTAACTCGTGCAGTCTAACTCGAAAGAAAATGGAATGTTGCAGCTTGTACGTCGTGCAGTTTTGTTTGTAACCTTGTTTTTATGTTCTGTAAAGTATGAAGTGTGTCATATTGTACTTGTCTTTTTTGAAATAATGAAATAATATTTTTGTTCCATTATTCGAATATTTAATCAAGTAATGTAATATCAATATCTTAGGTCAGGAGACGTTGATATTTTTTTTTTTTTTTCAAAAAGTAAATAATTTAAAACAACTAGTAATTACGTGACCCAAGAGTGACAAATATTATGGACATTGCCAAATTTTTCTTTAGCATGAGACATGCCAACCTGTTTACATGGAGGATGCGGCTTTGTTCTTTGATAAATAGTCACGTGGGTCGATTAAGAAACATTGTGGTTTGTGATGGTCTTTATTTGGGGACATTCAATGGCGACTTGCTTCATTACAAACTACGCGAATGCCCGTGCGTTGCGTGGGATATACAAAAATATTTTATATTAAAAATAACTAAATCATTGTTATTAACAGTTAAATAATAATTTCATAAAAAATATAAAAAATGATTTTAGTATTGTTATTATGTTGAATTATATTATAAGAGATAAAGTTGGAACTTGAAGTTGTTTTGCATATACAAAGTTATATGATTAAAATAGAAAAAAATTAATTTTTAAAAATAAATAAAGCGTTATTGTTATCTATTAAATAATAATTTCATATTAAATTAAAACGTTTATATTAAATATTATCATTATGTAGAAAATACGATAATAGAGCCATCTTTTTATCTATCTTAAATTTTATCATTCTATACAACATATGATAATAGAGACAACTTTTTATCTTAAATAGTAAAAAAAATGTTTTGTATCATAAATATTACCATAATTATGTAGAACATACGATAATAGTGACGTCTTTTATAAGGTTAAAACTTTAAATTGTATTACATACAGGGTTGTAAAACTTCGCTAACACAACCAAATACTCGTCATGTTACTTAAACTCGGCCTCCAATGGAAGCGATTTTGCCTAACTCAGCCAGAAGACACTCGGATTCTTATTAAACTCGATCCCAATCTAAAAAATACGGTCCAAAATCATTTTTGAAATTCTGAAATTTAATTAGTCACTTGTCGACAAAGACAATTTCACCAAAGAATACACTCAACGTCCTACAAAGTTAGATGCAAGGAAGATCTCATGGCTTAGTCCATTTGAAATATTTCACAACCTTTCCTATTTATAGAGGAGAATACATTCTCTTGTTTACTCTCACGATCAATGTGGGATGAAGACATTTTAATTAAACTCATTTCTTTATTTGCCAATAATTTCATTTTGTTAAATAAAATATTAAATAATAAAAATAAAACGTTATCCAGAAAATTTATTGTTCAATAGTTCCATTTTTCAGTAATCTCGTAAGTTGCCATAAAAAATTAAGTTTTTATTGAATAACTTTTTGTTAAATCCTAAAATCATAAATTCAGTTAGGTACTTAATATAGAAAGTTTGTTTATATGTATTTTCTTGATTCAAAATGTCATTATAAAATGAATTCATTTATAAAATATAATCGACTATATATTTCGTGCTTTTGAATCAAAGTGATTTTTCAAACAATTATAATTTTATGTTTAGGTAGATTTTTTTATATTTACATAACATTATGTAACTTATAATATTAATATTATAAACAATTTGAATAATCATGGGAGTTTCAAATGTATGTGGTGAAAGGAAAATGTTTCATTTATCGGTCCAAATTGATCAAACGCGGACCGATTCAGCTTAATATACCAAACTACATAACGTTTTTTCTATTGAAACCCGGTTTGTATATATTTTGTGTTTTTGAATCAAATTTATTTTTCAAACAATTATAATTTTATGTTTAGGTAACTTATTTATACTATTATTATAAACAATTTGAAAAATCATGGGAGTTTCAAATGTATGTGTTGAAAGGAAAATGCTTCCTTTATCGGTCCAAATTGATCAAACTCAGACCGATTCAACTCAATATACCAAACTACATAACGGTTTTTCAACTGAAACTCTGTTTGAACCTAAAAAAATCTTGTTCAAAACCATTTTCGGGATTCTAAAACTTAAATGGACAGTTGCCAATAAAGACAATCTCACCAAAGAATGCCCTCAACATCCTAAAAAGGTAGGCATAAGGAAGTTCTCATGGTTTGGTCCCTTTGAAACATTTCACAACCTTTCCTATTTATAGAAGAGCAAACGTTCTCTTGTTTACTCTCACCATCGATGTGGGATGAAGACATTGTAATAAAACACACTTTCTTGTTTATAAAACATTATTCAACTTATTTAGTAAAACACCCTTTCTCTTGTTTACCCTTTCTTTATTGTTCAATAGTTCCATTTTTCTATAATCTCGTAAGTTGCTATCCAAAAAAGTAAGTTTTTATTGAATAACTTTTTGTTTATATGTATTTTCAAGATTCAAAAGTTCATTATAAAAATAATTCATTTATAAAATATAATCTGCGTATATATTTCGTGCTTTTGATCAAATCGAATTTTCAAACAATTATAATTTTATGTTTAGGTAGATGTTTTTTTATATTTATATAACATTATGTAACTTTTTTAAAATATCATTGGAAACAATTTGAAAAATTATGGGAGTTTCAAATGTATGTAGTGAAAGGAAAATGTTTCTTTTATGGTCCAAATAGATCAAACTCGGACCGATTCAACTAAATATACCAAACTACATATTTTTTTTTCTAGTGAAACCCGGTTTGTATATATTTCGTGCTTTTGAATCAAAGTGATTTTTCAAACAGTTATAGTTTTAGGTTTAGGTAGATGCTTTTTTATATTTATATAAAATTATGTAACTTATTTATAATATTATTAGAAATAATTTGAAAAATCATGGGAGTTTCAAATGTTTGTTGTGAAAGGAAAATGTTTTCTTTATCGGTCCAAATTGATCCAGCTACGGTTCGACTCAATATACCCAACTACATAATTTTTTTTCTAACTGAAACACAGTTTAAACCTGAAAAAATTCGATTCAAAACCATTTTTGGAATTCTAAAAGTTAACTGGACACTTGCCAATATAGACAATCTCACCAAATAATACCTTCAAAATCGTATAAAGGTAGGCATGAGGAAGTTCTCATGGTTTGGTCCATTTGAAACATTTCACAACCTTTCCTATTTATAGAAGAGGAAACATTCTCTTGTTTACTCTCACCATCGATGTGGGATGAAGACATTGTAATAAAACACCATTTCTTGTTTATAGAACATTATTTAACTTATTTATAATATTATTGTAAAGAAATTGAAAAGTCATGGGAGTTTCAAATGAATGTGGTGAAAGGAAGTTAAAAAAGGGGGTTTCAAATGCATGAGATTCAAGAAAAAATGCTAGCTTTATAAGTATGTATGATTAGGTTTGGTGGTTTGGGATTGTACTCAGCAATAAAGACTTCCTCTTATGCTTTTGTGGCATCACGAGCTCAATCTTGAGTGTTACAAGACCACATTTTACAAGATAGCGACATATGTGATATGAATTTTGATTTTATTTGTGACTTGGCTCTTCGTGATACGATTTTGGTATTTGACTTCATCAGTTTCACTAATAAGGTCATTAACCCTCTAAAAGCCAACATTCATTGGCGAGTGCTCTTGTCCAATACATGGAAGTTCACTTCGACATGACTATTAGGAGTCTAGTCATATACTTTATGTCTATTTATAAAATCTCAAAAATTGTGTGTTGGTTATTGGAATTGATTAGAGCATACCTAAGAAATGAATTTAGATGTCGATTTGATTCCAATAGCACTCGTTGCTTCTTTTATTGGGTTGATTGGAACACTAGCTCTATGCTTAACACATGCAAGTCAAATGTTGTTTTGCAATAATAGTTTAGTCGTTAGGCCGAGAAGAGACACAAATTTCTCATTTTTTAAGGTACATAAACTCATAAAAGAAAAATTAATTAAGTCATTTTTGGTGGCTAGGGAAAAGGTGGTCTAAGTTTTGAAAGTATTTATACATTAAATTGGGCGTTGCTTTAAAAATGGCAATGAAAATTTGCTAAGTACTTTAGGTCTATTTGGAATTAGAGTTATATATATGGTAGTGGTGTGGTATGAGTTTGAATGGGGAGGTACTGAAATTGATTGGAGTTTGGTAAAACGATAGTTTGTTATATTAATTAGTTCATGCTAAAGGTGTTATTCTATACTCGCTTCTTAAGAAGTGTGTTGTTGATTGGTCAATGTGTATGTTTTGGAAAGATGTTGGATTTCTAAGATTGTACTTGCTTTAAAGGATATAAATTTTTTGCATTAGAGATCAATGGTCTAATCAAGTTTGGGATTGGAATTGGTGTAGATTCATGAGGAAGTGATGGTACAAAGTTCTCAAATGTGGTTCAACTTGTTGACCCGTTAGTACTTAGTTCCTTCCTCTTAAGAGGAAAAATAAGTTTGTGAGCTTGATCATCCACGAAGTTTTGTGTAAGTTCCACTAGGCTTTCTACACTGATGGGGTGATACCAATACACGACATCGACTTTCCAAATGGAAAAGATTTGTTAATATAAAGATTAATATTTTGGTTTAGAGTATTTTACTAAATCGATCCTACCTAGATTAAATTTGTTAATAGGGGAATTGGTTTGGATTCACT